CCCACACAACACAAAAAAAAAAAAAAAAAAAAAAAAATCAGCATTGTGAGCTGCAAGAACAAAGATTAATACCAGAGGCCCTCGGTTCGCCATGTCCTCGACCTACGGCGTTTCGTGGTAACATCGCCACTACCCATAACTTTATGAAGAAATTCTTGTTCTAACATTCCAACATAGAGGATTAAAACTAATTTTGCACCAAAACAAGTTGGTCATTATGTGGATGAATATGTCGTCACGCGGTGCGATAATTTCTTTCCCTCCAATATGGCTACCCAGAGTAAGTCAGACTCTTCTGATGTTTTTAGCGTAGGTGAGTGACATAGGTACATACATACCGTATGTGACTTAAGTTGAAAATCCGTTACCAGGTCGCGGGGGCAGCAGTTGCCACCCAAATCACACTGCACCGTACCAACCCCCCTGAACCTTCCTGCAGGTGGTGAGTCCACTGGAAGGTACCAACCACCCTAACTGGGATTCGAACTTGCCCAGGAGGTGAACCCTGGGGTTCCACACCAATGACAGAGGACATTGCCTCTGGGCCAAAGCGCCCTATGTGACGCTGTAGGAACGAAATTCCCATCCATTATAGTATGATTGTAAAATCATCAAATAATCAACCAAGACGTTGTATCATATTTACAGTCATTAGTTATAGCACGACATCGTCATTGAAAGTGGTTCCTGTCTGGAACTGAACTGAAAGACAAACTGTTCCATTTTTTTTTGTATACACTACGCTTTGTTTCAAGGTTTACCTTTGGAAAGGACAGAGTTGGCATCACATTTGGGACAGTGTGGATTTTTGATCTTTCGTCCTGGAACATGATCAACCAGTTTGCAGTAGACCTCGGGTTCCGGATCTCCGCACGTGGCATTACTGCTGATGTCGGCATTACTTGCGAGATTCAAGATGGCCGGAAACAGACCTGAAATGAATACAAACGTAGTAACAATGTCAGTGCCGGTAGACTAGTCTAGACAAGTCTGCATCACTCTGAATGCTGATTCTATTCCTTTTTATGTTGAGTGTTGGGAGAAGATGAACAACCCAATGCCAGTAGTGGATCAAGTGCCCCCTACAGATGGATCAAGACAAATAAAAGACTTATACGACTATATCAATCTGAACAAAGTCTCACGTCAATAACGGGACATTTAGAGCCCATGAATATCAAAGTGTGTTTTTGTATAGTGTTCAGAGTTGGTTTGATCGATCAGCTCGAGAGGAAGTGAATACGCATGGGGGGAGAGTAGCCTAACTATGTTTATGAGAGATGAACACTGACGTGGGAAAAGTGTTTGGCAGAATCCGTCTGGTCACCCTAGTGAGCTTTGCTAGCGTATAGCCGCTAGTTAACCAACCAACAATGGAATCTATGGGGCACTTTGATGCGGATGAAGGACAGATCTGACAGAGCATGGAACTATCCTGCGATGCTCGGACAACTATGCATTGTCGTGCACAGCTGTCCACTGATAGCTTCGAGAAAGAGGAAGGACACACCCACTCACTTACTCACTCACGTTAGTGTCATATTCACCGATATGTGGATATGGCATCTTTGCGAGCAAACTAGAAATAAAAGTAGGGCTAGTATTTTTTTTTACATGAGACGTTTGCGCCACGATTGATTGTAAAGCAGTTATCCATCAAATTATATGGGACGAAACCAATATGATATGACATAATATGATGCTCCATATGCTAGATCCAATGTAAACTGGTGTTGCTGCTGCCTGGTGAGCATGCATGGGAAATCCATCGATGTCCCGGATGTTGTTTTCTTTTTCAGTCCCTTTTTTTATGTCGTGTTCAGAATTTGTCTGAGACACTTCAAGACCACGGCTGAAATGTTGTCACTTCTTATCATTTGCATCAAGCGAAACCCTTTCTACAAATTCCACAGTTCTTAACCCTCGCGTTGTCCTTTCAGTATAGGTGACCACAACAACCACAGATAAGGACGAACGTTGTACACCGCAACAAATCGATGTCGCCTATGTGTCAACAGTATTCTCTGCCTGGAGGCACTTGTGCACACTCTCGCATTTTGCCCTAATGGTGCGTCTTACTGTTGTCAATACAACATGTGCTCTCAGCAATTTGGTAGCTGAAGCAAGCTTGACACAAGATAAGACTGGCATGTCATGTGAGAATCCCGATGAATGGGTTGACAGGGTTTCGATTTAATAATAATTTGAATAATTTGAACTACATTGGTGGCACTTTGGTCCAGAGGCAATGTCCTCTGTCATTGGTGTGGAACCCCAGGGTTCACCTCCTGGGCAAGTTC